AGCCTCATCTTTCTTCCGCGGAGCGGCTGGTAGTTTTAAACCGCTGACCTTAAGGCTCGCAGCCTGATTCATAACTACTACGCTACCAGAGCTCCTTAACACACTAAAATCCACACCTAATCAATTAATGTTTATTGATGTATCTACCAGATGCCAGAACTAACTTTATGGCACTTACCAACAACTGGATGCCAGGAACTTTCCTAGGCATTCCTGGTACAGCTATAAACAAAGCAAGCCCTGACCTCATGAAAATTTCTAGTAGATTTGCAGCTAAGAGCATTGCAAAAATGGCAAAAAATCCACACAACACTCATAGAGCTCACTCACCTACCTACAAACAAAGGACTCTGAGGTTATCTATCCCCTGGACATTGTCCACATCAGAGTCTCCCTCCTTCAAAATGGTTGGCTGAAACTGACTATAGTTCCCCGGAGCTTCCTTTCAGAAATTTTTCCTTTCCAAACACTTACCAGTAAATTTTATGGAGCTCTGGTAGCATAGTGGTTACGAATCGGGCTGCGAACTGCAAGGTCAGCAGTTCGAAACTACCAGCTGCTCCGCAGGAGAAAGATGAGGCGTTCTGCTCCCGTGAAGATTAACAGCCTCGGAAACCCTGTGCAGGGTCGCTATGAGTCGGAACCGACTCCATGGCACATAACAACAACAACCACCAGTAAATTTTGAGTTTTAAATCCCTCTACATATTGCACTGTCCCATAAAGTAGCCATCAGCTGCATGTGGTTATTGACATTGAAACTAATTTAAATGCAGGGCAATTAAAAATTCAGTTCTCCATCTCCTGGCCATATTTTGAATACTCAGTAGTCATCAGTGGTTGCTGTTCCTACCAAGTGCAGTCAAATCAGTTCCGACTCGTAGTGACCTTGTTTCCCAGGAGCAGCTGGTTGGTTTGAACCATTCACTTTGAGTTCTTATCCTACAGTACCACAATGGCTGCCATATTGGACAGTACAGCTACGGAACATTTCCATCATTGCAGAAAGTTCTAGTAGACACTACTACTCTACAGCGTCATACTCTGAGAGACAACCTGTTAGAGGAGATGTTCTTCAACTTTAATTTGACAGGCACTCAGGGAGCGTCTAATGAGGAGGGGGCGGAGGACTCAGAGGTGCCATGTTTAAGACCCCAACCAAGCAAAAAACTAAACCAGGCTGAGCATTGGGAAACACAACAGCAAGAATATCTGGTAGGAAGTGATTCATGAAGCCAAGTCAAAATCGAGGTCAAGGCTGACCTAGGACAAATGCTTTAAATGAGAGTCTCGTTTTCTCATCTGCAAAGTAATAGAAGTGGGCTCAGAGACCTCTAAAGGTATTTCTAGACCTGATTTTAGAACTCGGAGTCCAATAAGAAAAATAGTAACTCACTAACTAAACATTCACTAATACTACCCAAAATAAATCACAGAGAAAATGCCCTTTTAAGACCTTAAATGTTATCACAGAATTTGTCTCTCTTTGGTAGAGACCAAATGAAAGAAGAGATGGCGCCCCACAGTGGCCTGGCTGTTCAAAGTTTGGGTTCTGAAAAGCAAAACTTCCCTTGTGAGCTCAAGTTTGTATGCGCCAGGGACTGTACTAAAGGGAGGAATCCTCACAATAACCCTCAAATGGGCACTATTATTCTTCCCAATTTACAGATAACAGGTAGAGCAAGGCTAAATAACTTGCCTAAAGGCGAAGCTAGGATCTAAAACCCTGACAGTCACCTCCTGATCCCAAGTTACACTTTGCAGATAAAAGAGCTACTATTTATTTTTAATGGGTCAGTCATCCTGCCAAGCACTAGAAAACCTGTTATTTTTGTAAAACCTCCCAACCACCCAGGAAAAAGGGCAGACACAGAAGAGGTAAGCAGCATGCTTCATGTTACACAGCTACTAAGTAGCAGTGGCTGAATTCACACCCAGACCCAGGACTGCAGAGTTGGGGCTGTCACCACCACCCTCCCCTACCTTTAAACCACCTGGTCCTTCAACAAAGGAGTTCTGGTAGTAGAAGGGCTACGAGTCAGGCTGTTAACCTCAAGGTCAGCAGTTCAAAACTACCGGTCATTCTGCAGGAGAAAGATCAGCAGTTCAAAACTACCGGTCATTCTGCAGAAGAAAGATGAATGTTTCTACTTCGGTAAAGATTTACGTTCTCATAGATAGCATGGGGTCACTCTTAATTGTCTAGGATGGTGGCAATTTTAGCATCCTCTCCTTGCTGTTGTTATTGTTATGTGCCGTGGAGTTGGTTCCAACTCATAGTGACCCTGTACAGGGTTTCCAAGGCTGTAAATCTTTACGGGAGCAGAAAGCCTCCTTTCTCCCGTGAACAGCTGGTAGTTTAGAACTGCTGACCCTGAGGTTAACAGCCTGATTTGTAACCACTAAGCTACCAGAGCTCCTTAGTTCGAGTGCCTGAATTTTCCACAGGCTGATTTCCTTCCTGGGTGCTCTGTGATAGAGGTATCCAGTGAAGCCTTGTTAAATTCATAGGTTTGGCTGTCCAGGGGAAGGAAGCTCTTCTTTCAACTCAGGGTGTTGGCTCAAATGTCCTTAAAGGGCTCTCACTTTGGTGCATCCATTCACCAGGGTCCTAGGTTTCTCCACCCCAGCCAGGTATCCTGCTTCATAGGTTCCTTGGCCAAGTCAGCCACTGCGAAACAACAGGCAATTATGAAATGAACACGGTAAGAGGCAGCCTTAAAAAGCTGACACCACACACACACACACACACACACACACAACCTGTGTTCACATGGAAATATCTAAAGCTATTCAGAAATCTGGAGATCTACAAAAGAGCTTCAAAAATTTGTGAATAGGATGAAAAGATAATGGCATTTTTCCATGAACTTTTGGAAGCACTCTCCCATTAACTCTAAGAAGCTGGTTTTAAAGGGACAATCTAGAGACTATTGGGAAAAGGAGCCCTGGTGGCGCAGTGGTGAAGAACACCATCACTGATGGAAAGATCAACAGTTTGAACCTACCAGCTGCTCCTCGGGAGAAAGATGTGACCATCTGCTTCTGTAAAGATTATACTCTTGGAAACCATATGATGCAGTTCTACAGTCTTATCAGGTCACTGAGTTGGAATGAACTTGATAGCAATGAGTTTAGGTTTTAAACAATGGAGTCCCGGTTAAAAGTGCTCAACTACTAACTTAACTACCCAGAGGTGCCTCAGAAACCAGACTCGGCAATTTGCCATGAAAACCCTACGGTGTAGTTCTACTCGGCACATGGGGGTCACTATGAGTCGGAAGTGACCAGACAACAACAACAAATCTATTCATCATCCTGATGAAGTAAATCAAAGCCCAGCCTTACAAAGATAAATATTTTATTTTATTGGGAAGAGTGGTGGAAAAACACAGGATCAGAAGCCAAAAGAGCTGGTCAGAGATTGACTCTCGGGCCCTCAGGAACCAGATGTTCTAATTGAGTTACTCAATGCCCACTTCCTCCACAGCACAGCATCAAATGTGGATCCCAAAGAAACAAGAGGGAGCCCAAGGTCAACCAGCCAATACAGCAAGCACTATGAGAGGACCTGACTCCAAATATCAGTCCTTTCCAGTCCCTTGGCCTGGAGTCCCTGGAGAGGGTGGAGTCAGTACAACCACATAGCCCATAACAAAACAAAGCTTTGGAGGAAGGCTCCCTCAAAGATTGCCTCTCTCTAGAAAAGTCAAAACTGACCTTCATGTCAGGAAAGGTACTAGACCAAGCCAGAAGCCTAGTCATCCCATTTAGCCAACACTATCTGCCTAGCCTGTTCACTCTTTCAGATCAGTGAAACAGCACTCCTGGGAGTGGTCCGTCACAACCAGGGGTGGATTACCCAATAAACAAGGTAAGCATCGGCTGACTTGTGCTTATTTACTAAATCTGTAGTGCAACGTTTCAAGGAATTTCACATGGAAGATGTTGCACAAGAGAGACACTATTGCAGGCCTACAACTGCATGTGCACACAGAGGTGACAAGACCGCTCTCCTTGCCTTACTTAAGCTCACACTCAAATGACAGACTTGCCTCCGCTTCCAATTCCACCGACAGACAACCTTGAAGTTGTCCTCTCCACTTTCTCTGGGGAAATGAGCTAGCTTATGATTTCCAGCTTCCCCTGGGGTGCCATATCCACTCACCCGCTGGTAGAAGGGGAGGCACTGGAAACACAACCCTCTGCCCCTATTGTGTAAGACGCTCCTAGACACAAATGGACCGTCCCCTTTCTTAGCAGCAAACTGAGCAGAGGAGGATATTATCTCTTCTTCTGTTTAATACTTTATTCTAAAAGAAAGGGAGGCCCTGAACAGGAATGGATATATGCAAGCACCCACTAAGGAAAACCAATCGGCTCTAACGTCTCCAGTCGCGGTCACTCAGCAAGCAGGTCACCGCTTTTAAATGAATTTGTTTTGCTTTGCACGACAGCCCAGAGACAACAATCCTGAATGAAGAAGACCAACGGGATCCCTGGGGTGAGGCGCCAAAGCACTAGGGCATCCAGTGCATAGAGACGCTAGGAGAGTGCCTGGGGATGTGCCCTCCGACCACTGCCAAGGGAAGGGGCCGGATGAGTAGCGATCCTCTGATTGCTCACTGAAGAGGCCTGCACGGCCACCGCCGCCGTGCCGCCGCCCTCCGGATGCAGACTGAGGCCGCAGGAAGCCATGCACTGCGAGGCTGCCGGCTCCTGCAGCACTTTTGGTTAACGCCGGCTCCAGCGCACGAGTGGGTATCGCGGGGAGGGGAAGGAACTGAGTCCAGTCTAGCGCGGGGACCTGGACCCTGAAGCAAGGCCCCACCCGCCATTTGCCGAGTAGAGGGGGACAAGCAAGGCCAACGGAGTTGGGGTGGATCCAGCGGGGCAGGCAGTGAGGACCCGGGATTCGGCCGGCTCAGACGAAACAGGCCGGGTTGGTGACTTGGAGCCCTCTGCCACTGCTCCGCGCCACCCCCTCCCCACTCTCTTACCGGCAGATCTGGATGGCGGATGGGGTCTCTGCGACAGAACCCGACATGCTGGCAGCAACAGCAGTGGTGGCGGCTGGAGACTGCGGGAGAGTGCAGGTGTCTGGCAAGCCTCGCACAGAATGAATGAGCCCAGGCGGCGCCATGGAGGGGGAGGGAGGGGGCGGAGTCATAGCGTCGTCAAGGCGGGGCCTGCGTGCCGCGGGCGAATCAGGCTCCGCCTCGCTCCTCAAGCCCCACTCCCTGCCCTGGCCAGCTCCATGAAGGCCCCGCCCCCCGGGCCGCCAAGGCCGTAGCTGGCTCCTGCGGGCGCCCAGCTCGAGCGGTGGCGACTGTTGCGGCATGTCGCCGCTTCCAGAAGATTCGGCAGCCGTTGCGGGGCGCCGACGCCGGGCCAGGCCCTCGGGCCGCTGCGAGCTTGGCCCCCACCCGTCCACTGCCGAACCTTGACCCTGAAGAAACCGACCGTCAGGGTCCAGATCCGTGTCGCCGCGAGTGCGCTAAGGCGGCGCCTGGATTCTACCTCATCCTTGCGCGGTTAATATTTACTTTGGGCGGTCCCGGCCGCCGTGGGTGGAGACGCCAGTTCTGGGCACCTCGTGCAAAAAATGCCTCTGGGGTCAAAAGCGGAAGGTCTCCGGGCGCCTGGATAGGCTTTGCCGGCAGAAACGTGAAGTGCACGTAGCGCGCTCTAGACTCTCCTGCCCATTATCCCTCATCCTACTTCTACCATAAAAGAAAACTGAAGACTATACGCCCAGAACAAGTATTTATTGCAGAACTGCTGTGTCACCGTCCCACGAGGAAGCTTGTGGGTACGAAAAACGGAAATAATGGGCTCGCTCTGACTTCAGGAAGCGACAGCGGCATCGACACAAACCATTAGGAAGCGCTTGTCTACACTGCTTGCCACAAACCGTCGTGCCCCTCCTCTGGGCCGGTTCTTCCGAAAAGACTTCCTGGGTCAGCTGAGCATTTCCTGGGGACGAAAAGTGCTGCAGAGGGGCTAGGCTAGCCCTGGAGATAATCTGTGTTATTTCATACGGTTGTTGTTAAGTGCCATCAAATCAGTTCCAACTCATAGCGACCCTGTATAGGGTTCCAGAAGATTGATTGGTGAGCTTGAACTGCCGACCTTCCAGTTCAAACTGACCTTGTGGTCCTGTCCATATCCTACAGTGCCACATGGACTTTTAAATGGAGTCTAGGCCAACCATAAAACCAATAAACAACATTCTTATCAACTGAGAAAAGATTGAAGTTGTCAAGGACTTCATTCTTCTTGGATCAACTATCAACACTCATGGAAGCAGCAGTCAAGAAATCATAGGACATACTGCGTTAGGCAAATCTGCTGCACAAGACCTCTTTAAAGTGTTGAAGAGCAAAGATGTCAGCTTGAGGACTAAGGTGCACCTGACCCAGGCCATGGTGTTTTCAATAGCCTCATATGCATGCAAAAGCTGGACAGTGAATAAGGAAGATTGTAGAAGAATTGATGCCTTTGAATTGTGGTGTTGGAGGAGAATACTGAAAGTGCCATGGACTGCCAAAAGAACCAATAGATCTGTTTTGGAAGAAGTGCAGCCAGAGTGCTTCTTGGAGGCCAGGATGACTAAACTTCCGTCTCTCTTACTTTGGACATATTGTCAGCAGGGACCCGTCGCTGGAGAAGGATATCATGTTTGGTAAGGTGGAGGGTCATAGAACAAGAGGAAGACCCCCAGTGAGATGGATTGTGCCAGTGGCAGCATCAATGAGCTCAAGCATGGCAACAATTGTGAGATTGGCCCAGGATCGGGCAGTGTTTCGGTGGATGAGTTGGTACCAACTAGATGGCACCTAACAACAACAACAGGCCATCTATGGCACAAAACCTACCCCCAACTATTAAAAACTTCTTGTGCCAGAAATTCAGAGGCGGGGTTTTTGTATACATTTTGTATACATTTGTCCTGGTGTGATACTGTAGAATAAGCACTGAACTGCTAACCGCAAGGTCAGTGATTCAAACCCACTAGCTGTTCATTGAAAACCCTATACAGGATCTCTGAGTCAGAAATGACTAAATGGCACTTGACAAAAACATACATTTGGGAAGGATCATGGTAGCTCTGTATGATAAGCACTGGACTGAAACCACAAGGTCAGCAGTTTGAACGCACCAGCTGCTCCTCTGGAGAAAGATGAGGCTTTCTGCTCCCGCAAAGACGTACAGTCTTGGAAACTCCATACAGGGTCGCTATGAGTCCGTACAACTCAACAGCACTTAACAACAACAACAGCAATACATTTGGGAATCCTGGTATGGTACTGTGGGGTAAATACTGGGTTGCTAACCCACCAACTGCCCCTCTGAGACCCTATACAGGGTCACTATGAGTTGGAACTGACTCACTGGCATTTCACAACAACAAACAACATACATTTGGGTATTTTCCAAGTTTTCTACAATGAACAATAATTGGTTTTGTAGTCAGATTACAAAAATAAGAATTATCAACTCCAGAACTCAAGCACAGGCCTGCTTCAGATCCTTCCTGCCTTAGTGACCATGGGGCAGCCCACAGCATGTTCAGAGGGGGCTGGGTGCTCACATCTTCAGATCTATTTATGCTTTCCAGATGATTACAGACACAAAATTGTTTTTTTAGGGTACATTAAGTTGAAGCAAGCATCAGGAGCCGCCAAGCTTACTTAACAACCCTCATCCCAATCAGAGTTCCTTAAATGGTTAAGGGCTAGTGACACTGCAGAATGAGTACTGAGTTGGTAACTGCCTATACTGGGTCACTATGAGTGGGAACCAACTCAAAGGCACTTAACAACCACAACAACCAAACAAAAAGTTCATACCACTTCATTCCTGTTTGACGCCCTGTGGAGAATTCACATTTCCACCCCAGATAAGAGGCTCTGTAGGACAAGAACTGGACTGCTAATCACAAGGTTGGAGGTTCAAACCCACTGTTGTTGTTAGGTGCCATCAAGTTAGTCCCGATTCATAGCGACCCTATGCATAACCGAATGAAACACTTGCCCAATCCTGTGTCAACCTCACAATTGTTGCCACGCTTGAGCCCATTGATGCTGCCACTTTGCCAATCCATTTCACTGGGGATCTTCCTCTTTTTCTCCGACCCTCCATCTTACCAAACATGATAACCATCTCCAGCGACTGGTCCCTCCTGATAATATGTCCGAAGTATGAGAGACAAAGTTTGGCCATCCTGGGTGAAAACCCTGTACAGGGTCATTATGAATTAGAACCAACTCAAGGGCACTTAACAAAAATAACAATCCCAGGGATACTGAATCTGAATCTGCATTTTAATCGAATTATTGGAAGGAAGTCAAACCAGCTCATTGAACCCTCCCAGAGTCCTCTGGGAAAACAGGCTTGGTAATCTCCTTCTAAAAGGTAGTGGTTGTTCAGTGTTATGCAGTCAGATCCAACTCATAGTGACCCTGTATTTGGTTTCCAGGGAGCAGTCTGAAGGGTATAAACTGCCAACCTTGTGGTTAGCAGTCCAGTGCTTACCCTACAGCACCACAATAGCCTTAAAAACCCTATGAAGCACTTCTACCTACCTACACACACACACACACACACACACATACATGGTCACTGCAAGTCAACAACAGCAACACCTTCCCAGTAGAGGCCCATAGAGGAATTTCTAAGGATGCAACCCAGGACACCAGCTGTCAAGTCTTAAGCAAGTCAAAGATAAGATCTGTTAAAAGCCAAAATGCATTGCCTCAACCCAAGTTTGTCAGGTTAGAATTGTGACATCTTTCTCCTGAAGACTGATAGGTTCAAATCTCCAACCTTCTCGTTAGCACTCAAATTCTTAACCATTTTGTCCCACCATGTAAACATTACATTCAGATGCACTGGGAAGCCAACAAATTTCTGTGACTCACTTTATTGTGAAACTCCTGTTGTTGAACCCTCAATATCTTGGAGTTGTTGTTGTTGTTGTTAAGTGCCGTGGAGTCACTTCCGACTCATAGGGACCCTGCACAGGGTTTCCGAGGCTTGTAAATCTTTACGGCAGCAGAAAGCCTCATCTTGAGAGATACCTGTAATTCATAACTGTAAAGGGCCTGGTGGTAGTGGTGGTTGTGTGTGATCAAGTCAGTTCCAATTCATAACCACCCCATACAGGGTTTCCAAGGCTGTAGCGTAGTGGTTACGATTCGGGCTACGAACTGCAAGGTCAGCAATTCGAAACTACCAGCTGTCTAGTGGGAGAAAGATGAGGCTTTCTGCTCCTGTAAAGATTTACAGCCTTGGAAACCCAGTACAGGGTTGCTATGAGTCGGAACCGACTCCACGGCACATAATAACAACAACAATCTTTACAGGAGCAGAAAAGCCTCATCTTCCTCCGGTGGATTCTATCTGCTGGCCACAAGGTCCACAGACCAACACGTAATCAACTATGCTACCAGCGTTCCTTGTAAGAAGGCTAGCAGATATGCACCATGGTTTCACTAGTAACCGCACCTCTCCTCTTGCCCGGCTTAAGCGCTCTAACCCCTCCCCAAGGAGACCGCTGCAGTCGGCCCATCTATGCTCCAAGGGAACCAGGTGTGATCAAAAATAGCTACATGTCGGAGGAGACGCAACAAGACTCAGTGGAGTGCACTGCGCAGGCGCTGGAGAAATACAACATCAAGAAGGACATCACGGCCTACATCAACAAGGAGTTTGATAAGAAGTACAATCCCACCTAAGGAGTTCTGGTAGCGTAGTGGTTACGAATTGGGCTAACCTCAAGGTCGGCAGTTCAAAATTACCAGCCGTTCCACGGGAGAAAGATGAGGCTTTCTGCTCCCGTAAAGATTTACAGCCCTGGGAACTCTGTGCAGGCTTACTATGAGTCAGAACCGACTCGACTCCACGGTACTTAACAACAACAACAATCCCCACCTGGCACTGAATCAGGAGGAGAAACTGATAGTTATGTGACACATGAAAATAATCACTTCATCTGCTTCTACCTGGGCCAAGTGGCCATTCTTCTGTACGAATTTGCTTACAGCAGCGACTGTGCCCACACATCCAGTGGATCATCCAAACCCAAGGACTGCAACCTCCGTTCCTAATACCAGAGACTGAAATCTTCAGCCTTGCTAAGGGAACCCCTCCATCTTTGACCCTTCA